TAATAGATTTTCCATCTTAGTTTCCACAGTTGGCCAAATTCGCCCTAGTTATCAGTCGTCTTTAATTTCTAGTTATGATCTTTTCTCAGTTGGCCCTTCAGCTGCCCCCGCATCCTTCAAAAAATCGTCTCCTTATTTGCCCAAAAGTAATTCTCATTTGTTTATCATTAAGCCTATTTATGATTGCCATTATGATCCAGTTGCAATAGCTAAACACTATTTCCCTCTTGGATTCCATTATATGCCACCAAGTCCTTATAAGAGTCTCAAGTATTATAGAGATATTTTACTTGAAACCCAATCAGTTGAAATAAAACCAATAAAGGACCGTGATCATCCTGAAATCATCCTTTATCATTCCATGTATATTCACAAAATTATAAGTCAAGAGTGATTCAGCAGTCATCCCTATGAGTTGAAAACCCTTCAGTCAAAATTACAATATAATTATTCTGATTATATTGAAGCCTGGTATTCTATCTTCCTTCATCAATCTGAGGATTTTAGTCATTCCTATTTTATCAATTTTGACAATAAGTTCAAAGGCCCTATTCCTTACTAGTTTCTTCACTGGTGGGAAAAACACGGCCCAGTTTATGAAATTCTACCTGTTCAAGTTCATGAGTTGATTCGATATTTCTCCCAAAAATATAAGTTTCCTAAACAAGAGTTGTTCTTCACCAAACAGTTGCTTTTTATTTGCAAATATAAAGTCCCTTGGATCTTAAAATGGTCCTACAAAGTTACCAAAGACACCAGAGTCTTTACTCGCCAATTCTCTGTCAAGTGGTGGGATAAGTTTGAAGTTGACAGAATTGCGAAATATGTCTACAATGATTTTCCTCAAGTTGCTGTTCCCCCTAAGCCTCACCATGCATCTCCTACTGGTTCTGTTCGATCTTCTCTCTCAATCGAGGGAAAATCAAAATCTGAATTACAGGAAATTGCACGCCAGCTGATTATTCAAGCCTCACAAATGAATGATGATGAGGACAATGACAATGACTCTCAGTCATCATCCAGTTGCCTTCCTATGCAGAGTCCTGCCAAACCAAAACGGTGGGCAGACTATGAAGACTCCTAGGACCCCTATGCAGCTTATGATCTGAATTCAGATTAATCCAAAAGTTACCGACAGCTATCTCCAAGTTAAAGTTGCCTCCCAAGTGAAAGTCAAAGTCAAAGCATTCAGTTAAAGCAACTGTCTGCTTTCACATGCCTCTACAGTCATTATTCCCGACAAGTTACCCATGAAAAAGCCAAAAGTTGCCAAAGTAAAAGCATCAGCTTAATTCCCGTGCATCCACAGAAGCATCCAAAGCAACCATAGTTACTTTCGGTTACCTTAGTTGCGTAACTAGAATTAATTGTTTTCTTATTTAAAGAGGCTTCGGCTTCTATTGTAAGCAGAATACATTTTTAATTTCAGTTTTAAAGCTTTCCTTGAGACTCCCTCAAGCAAGCTCTCAGTGTAAAAACTAGAGACTATGTATCCTCCTCATTGAAGTCTTCCAGAAAGCCTTTTAGTGAGTATAAATAAAGCTGATATTTTCATGATATCTTTATTTTGAATATTTTCATATATGCATTAATTTGAAGTATCATCATGTTCTTATTTTCCATGTTGGTATTTTCATTGATAAGATTCATGCATAAGTTGTGTCTCTTCTATTATGTCTATATATATATATATATATATATAGTCCCCTTCTATTGAGGCATCCCTCAAATAATTTTATTTGAGGGACGCCCTTTAGGGTACTCTACAATTTTTTTCTCAATAATCCAAACCATTTATTTTTTAGGTCTTCATTCATAGATCATCCTTACAAAAAATTAGACAAATCTGAGACTGTTTCGATATCCAATTGTGTCTTACAAAATCAATGTACACGGTGCTTCAAGAAAGTACTAAAATTTCAATAACTCAAATGAGTGGTCAAATGATGTCGGATTCAAGTAATTTTTTGTAGAGATGATCTTTGAATGAGTATTTACAAAATAGACGGTTTGGATTAGTGAAATACAATCCGGAGTGGGGTCTACAAGGGGTGTCTCTCAAATACACTTATTTGAGGAATCCCTCAATAGAAGCTATATATATATATATATATATATTGTATATGGAACAAATATATTGAAATTTTATGGTAGCTTAATATTAATTATGTACTAAACTGACGTAATTGGATTACTGATTGCATGATAACTATTTTAGGGATTCCGTTTTATATTGTTATTATTGTTAATTTACCTCATTATCATTTAATACAAATTCAAACTCATGTACACTAGGTTTTGGGAAATATGATGCGTTCTCAAGATACTGATGGATGGCGATCAATTCTAGAAAATAGAATATGAGATTTACCAGAAGGAGAACAAAAAATCTTGTTAGTATTGAAGTTGAGTTTTGATAAATTGAAATCACCATATTTGAAACAATGTTTTGCATATTGCTCAATGTTTGTCAAAGATTTCAAAATTGAAAAGGATGACTTGACCCAACTTTGGATGGCTCAAGGATTGCTTTACCCTTCTCCCAAGTTCCCAACAGACGTAATCTAGCCATGGAGGATATAGGAAATGAATATTTTAATATTCTATTGAACAACTCTTTCTTTCAAGACGTTGGAATGGAGCGTGGTAATATTACATGTTGCAATATGCACGACCTTGTGCATGATCTCGCAGAACATGTGTCAAAATCGAAGAGCAATGACTCCAATGAGACTCGACATATGGCACATATGCCTACCTCAGTGCTACAAGGAGTTCTAGAAAGAAGTGCTCAAAAATTGCGCTCACTTTTCTTAAATGTTGAAGGTCTTGGTGATATCTTACTGAACTTTAGAGGTTTGCGTGTCTTAAATTTATATAAAGCTGATATTGAGGAGTTGCCAATTTCAATTGGAAGTTGAAACACTTAAGGTATCTGAATGTTTCAGACATGAAGATCAAAGCACTCCCCAAATCCATTGGAAAGCTTTATAATCTACAAACATTAAGAATGTTCCGGGTCAAGTTTAAAAAGTATCCAAAGGAACTGCAAAATTTGATGAACTTGAGGCATGTTTATTTTTATAAGGATATTATAGAATTTCCAACAGGGATGGGGCGATTGACTAATCTCCGAACATTAAAAATTTTCATTATGGGTAAGGAGACAGGTCGTGGGATAAAGGAGCTGGCTGGCTTAAACATGCTAAAAGGCAAATTATCTATCCATAATCTAGAGCACGTGAGAGACGGAGAAGAAGCCAAGAAAGCAAAATTAGTGGAGAAGACCAACATACGCCAGTTAATGTTTAAATGGGCGAAGGACAGGTCAAGCATCACCAATGATGAAGAGGTACTAGAAGGCCTTCAACCACACACTAGTAAACTGGAATTTTTTGAGTTTTCGAACTTCATGGATCATAAGTAGTTCGTTTCCTGCATTGAAAAGTTTAACTATTTATAAAGCCAAGAACCTAACTCAATGGCCGGAAGGTAAGATAGTTGTGTTTCCTTGCATTGAGGAGCTTGTTTTGATCAATTGTGATAGATTGAGAAGTGCTCCCAGCCATTTTCCATCTCTCAAGGAGTTGAGGATAGATTCCATGGGTAGCGGCATGCCAATAGTAAACATAAGCAATAAGCTGACCACTCTTACGTCGCTCACAATAAGGAGTATAAGAGGACTTGCTTTCTTTACCAGAAGGGATGCTAAAAAACAACAAGAATCTTGCATACTTAGAGACAGAAGATTGTCAGGAGCAAACTCGTATTGCTCCTCCTGATGTAGTTGGTTCTTGCGCATTTCTTGAGTTAGTGCGTATTTCCAAGTGTCCTATTCTTGCTTATTTGCCTGATGGGCTACTCACATCATCTCTTAAGAACCTGATTGTGAAAGACTGCGATAGTCTAGAGTTGATTCCAGTTACACAGGCTCTCCCATCCCTCTGGGAATTAGAAATAACAGGCTGTCCGGAGTTGTCAAGTCTACTGAGCGGGTTAGATTATTTTACCTCTCTTCAGGAGTTGGCAATATCAAATTGTGATATGCTAACATCCGCTTTGATTCACAGCCTCCCATCCCTCCGGAAGTTGTCTATATTTGGTTGCAGCAGGAGTCCAGAGTCTGTTCCAAGTTTACTCGGCTTCACATGCCTTCGTGAATTGAGAATCAAAGATTCCCATGGATTGACAAGTCTGCCAATAGGGCTAGAATCATGTTCTTCTCTTGAGGTGATGAGAATAAGCAAGTTTCCAAATGTAGAATCTATTCCAAGTTTAGACAACCTCACAAACCTCCATGAATTGGAGATATCTTGTTGCGATGGATTGAAAAGTCTACCCAGTGGTAAGCAATAACATCCTGCCTCAACCACTTGAAGTCATTGAAAATCGGTGGCTTTTGGAAGGAGCTGGATTCATTCCCAGCTTTTCAGGTTACATCACAACTTGAATACTTGCATATATGGGGTTGGCCTAAGCTCAAGTCTTTGCCCGAACAAATTCAACACTTCACTTCTCTAACATGTCTCGAAGTGCATTGCTTTGACGGAATGGAGGCTCTTCCAGAGTGGTTGAGAAACCTTACATCTCTTGAGTACCTGGAGATATGTCGTTACAAGAATATGATGTATCTACCTACACTAGAAGCTATGCAATGTCTCACCAAATTAAAACGCATAATCATTTCGGATTGTCCCCTTCTAAAAGAGAGATGCAACAAGGAGAGCGGCTCAGAGTGGCCCAAGATTTCTCACATTCCACTAATATATGGTATGTTTTTCTTTTTCCTTTTATTGTTTTTGGCTCTTAAATCAACTATGCATTCTATTTTCTTCACCTACTGTACAGTTAATGTTCATGATCTTAATTCTTTCCCCATTACGTACGACATAATGATTTCTAATATTTATGTTTAAATCTCTAGTTGACTACTGCTGGGTAAAGTTGGATCTGCCAAATTCAATATAGTCTGAGGAAGTATCATCATGAAATGCGAAATAGTTGAAAGTGGTGTGAATTGTTGTTGAGAAAATGATTAAACTCAATTGAGTGACTCTGCTTCTAAAGGTATGTATCATTCTTTTTTCTTTCTCTGAAAAGAATAAAACTCTTTTCTCCCATATATATCACATTTTCTTCTCCTTTGGCGTTCAAATCAAGTAAGTTGCTTTTTTCCTTGAGACAGGTGTTGGTGTGGAGAGTTGATTGAAGCTATATATATGCTACACATCATCACCATTGAAGAAAAGGTGTCCCTTCCCACCATTGAAGAAAAGGATTCCCTTCCCTACAACCTACAGGTGTGGAATTAATATTATTATATCGTTCTAATTATAATTAGTACAAGCAACTCCCTAGCATCTGTTGCTATTTTGGCATAATTTGGAGGTTTTGCCCTTTGCCTTTCCACCAGATGGCATAATTTGTTGCTATTTTTTCAAATTATTAGTTGATTCTATATCCTCTCCGTCTCTAACAGCTTTATAGGATTGATTCTTGTGGAAAAAGCGAGTAATACAGGTATATATAATATATATTCCACTTTGTATATTTAAATCTTAAGAAAATGAGTGCATAAATTTCTTTGAAATTCAGGCGCAATCAAAAAGACAAACTACCGATCCACTATGACCAACATCAATTCCTAAGGAACCTACAAAGCCTAACAGGTGTGAGATTTTGTATCAGTAATGAAAACGTAAACATTCAATATATACTGTGTTTTAATTTTTCAAATTCTAATGTTGGACCGTTGCTAACCTATTGATTCTTTAGATATTCCAGTGACTGATGGGAGGTAAATCCAACACAAGCCACCAACTCTAATGATCACAAAATCAAGACAGAAGTCGCAGGCTGCTCAGATTTTGTGTCCCGATCAGAAGTGATTGTAGTTGGAGTATTTTGGTAATTTCCTTCTATTGGTGTCCAGAGAAAACAATAAATTTATTCAAATTTTAGCATGGGTGTCCAAAGATGGATTTTGGGTGCAGACCTGAGCTCACTAACATTTGACGCACCAAGCCCAACAACCCAAGTCCAACTTAGCCTATTGCTCCACTATAGCCTAACACTCCCCTTTCTTTTTCCTTTTTTTTTTTAAAAAAAATTTATTTTATATTTATGTAAAATATGATCATACTGTTATGAATTTCGTGTTTTAGAATGTTCAACTCAAGTGTACTGCTATGCAACAAAATCAGAAGCCCTTTTTATTTATTTTATAAATGTTGAAGCATGGAGATATTACTACCGATCACAGATCATTGTATTTGCTTATGTTTTCCACTCATTTAATTACCTAATTACATGTTTTAAGCTAGACAGTTTGTGACATTTTAGATTAATCACAATTTGTTAAGGGACTTTGCATGGGTCTACTAGGAATTTGGGTTACTTCCTCGTTGCGAATTGATGTTGAGGTGAAGAACTTCGACTTCGACTTCCTTCAAGTTCTAGTACTTGGTACTTTTCATTTTTGTTACACCCTTAAATTTAGTTTTGCTAACGTAAATGGCATGCTTACATTGGATCTAAAGTAGTGTTCCTTTCTTTTCTTTTTCTTTGTTAATATGAAGATGTGGGACGGTTCTTTTCTCTAATTTCAAACAAAAACTCAATATCCTGTACTTAACTCTATGAACAGTGCATATTCACCTTTGAAGTTGCCCAGAAGGCACCTTATTTTTAACAATCAATTCTTAATCATCACAAATGTCTGGTCCTCTTTAATTGATTATCTATCAGATAGGCATGGACAAATTCATATATTTATCTCTCCGTCACGAACTCCCTGCCCCCCAACGAACCATCCTCTGTATAGCTGGGTTCTCTCGTTTTCATTATTCCTAGAATGATAATGGGTATTATATATATAAAAATATAAGTATTCTTTTATACTAGTGATTGTTGTGTAAATTACTTTAATATATCTAAAGAGGGGATGAATTTGGGTGAACAAAAACAAACATAAGGCCCTGATAAACTGGCATGCATAATACAAGTGTTTTACCAATACACCCATACTGCACGATGTTTTCACCATTTACTAACCACTTTTAAGTATAGTGAAGAACTACTAATTCTTGTATTTTCATATAGAAAAAACCACTAATTGATAAAAGAGTAATGTTACACATATCACATTTTTATGCCACATTTCTATACCACATGACGTGGTATGTCCATATCATATGTCACATCAATTAAATCAATGAAGTGTATTTTAATTTAAAAAAAAGTTTAATTGACAGTTTTTTTTAAAGTGTTAAAAATCATAAAAGAAAAGAAAATATTAAATCATTTTAATTAATGTGGTTGTCCACCTTATTTGTCACATCATGATAATATGGTATACAAATGTGATAATAGTAATATTATTCTTGATAAAAATAAAAAATAAAGGAAGAAAATTAATTCCCTTAAATATGCAACAAAGCATGTCTGGTTTTTTTTTTTTTTTTTTTTTTCAAACTTTTGGCTGTTTACAGAGAGAGAAGAGAGATGAAGAAGAAGAGAAAAGGATCAAGAGATTTCAACTGCCGTGATAGTTTAGGAGGAATATTTGGCAATTTACCCTTAAAGAAACTTGCAATGCACATGTGGTGTTCTCGAGCTTCGAGCTCGTGACCCGAGTACAAAGAAATGCATGCATATAAGATTGTGAGAAAGACTCAAATTATTGTAGGTTCCAGAGGAGCCTGAAGTGGAGTATATGAATTTCAAAAAATAAAATAAAATACAAGCGATATTACAAGGGGAAGAAATGGGAACCAATGATATCAGATGTCTTGCTAGGCTGTTTTATTTTTATTTTTTTAATTTTTTGTATGAAATGGTATTAACAATGTACTTCTATCACATAGTATTAACAGTGTACGGAGGTTCAATGGAGAAAAGTCGTAAAGACAGCTCCTTTTTCACGATTTTTTTTTAGTTTGGGTTTTTTAAAAAAAAATTTGAGCTGGGCTTGTTTTGGGTTCTTTTGAAGTTTTTTGTGTTGGGCTTGTTTTAAGTTAATCAATAGTAGAGATGTAATTTAAAGGAACTTCAACACTCATTTCTTATTTAGTAAATAGGTTTTGGGTGTGTTTCTAAAGTGTACTTCATGTGGGGTTTTTTTTTATAATTTCATCCATTTGCAGAGCAAGAACAAAATGAATTATTATAGCATGAGTCTTGGCTCTAAATGTAGTAGAATTATTATAGTAGCGAGAAGTGTTTTTACTATTGAATAAGCATTAAATTAGACCCAATTGAGGTAAAGGATAAAGATTTCAAGTTCGATTTTCATGTTAACAAATAATTCTATTGAAAAAAGTTCCGATTCTCTGTTTATAACTTATAATTTTGTATCATAATACTAACACAGTGTTTATAACTAAAACACATTCTTATAATTTTGTTTCGTTTCAACGTAATGTAACATAACATTACTTTATTTCATATGTTGACTTGAATTCATTATCAAAGACTTTGGATTAAAATTTTATTAAACAATCGAAATTCAAAATAATTGAACATAGAGTTAAAATAATGTTTGTCCAACTTTGACTGCTTCAAAATGATTGTTGAGCACTTAGCATCTTTTAATAATTGTTTAAGGGCAAGTCCTCCTCATGGAACCTAATGGCATGCAATTTGTCGTTTCAGGATTAAAATATTAACAACTTTCATTGATTATCTCAACAACGACAATATCATCGACCAATCAAAAAGCGTCTAAGGACACAAGAAAAGTAATTAACAGTAGCCTAATATCTCGTCAAATCCGAGGTCCCCACCACGTTGTCATTATCAATCCTACAAAGTAGGCCAGGCAATCCAGATAATCCAGACTCTCCTAAATTGTTTTAGCTTTTGATGCCTGCCATATGACCCAACTTCTGGTCTACAAATTCCTCACAAGCTTCTCAAACATACATTGCGTCCTCAATTTTGCTCAAGTTTTCTAACCCAAACTAAGCATTCTGTTCTCTGTCTTGAGCAACACTGACACAAAATATGGCTGCAGAGTTTCTTACTTTTGGTGCTGAGGGAATTCTGACGAGGGTGGCTTCACTTGCAGAGCAAGAACTCAGTCTTCTCTGGGGATTCAAAGGAGAGCTAAAAAGCCTGCGAGGCTCATTATCGAAGCTTCAAGCTATGCTGCGAGATGCTCAACATTCACAAGTTCGGGGTGAGAGGGTGGAGATGTGGGTGAAGGATCTTGAAGACATAGCTCATGAAGCTGATGATGTGTTGGATGAATATGAATATGAACTTCTCCGCCGGAAAGTGGAGATCCAAAACCAGATCAAGAAAAAGGTGCTCAACTTCTTTTCGCGCCATAATCCCATCAAATTTCGTCTCAAAATGGCACATAAAATTCAAAACATCAATGCATCTTTGGAAAAACTGAACAATGAGACAGTTGGTATTGGGCTGGTTGCTACTAGGTCCACGTTTGTCGATGCAGCCTCTCATGATATTGGAGGTCTTGATAGGGAAACTGTCTCAAGCTTTGATCAAGATGAAAAGTACATTGTTGGAAGGGAGGAGGTTGAGTCGGAGATAGTTACAACCTTGATCAACTCTGGTAAGAACCAAGAGAATCGTCTTTCTGTTATGGCCATTGAGGGGATGGGAGGCCTGGGGAAGACATTTTTGGCTAAATCCATATATAATAATCCTGAGATAGATAGACACTTCGACCAAAAAATATGGGTATGTGTATCTACTCCTTTTAAAGTCAAGACGATCTTAAGCGGGATCTTGGAATATCTTAAACCAGAAAAAGCTGGAATAAAGCGTAAAGCAGCAATATGTGAAAACCTGCAAGAATATTTGAAAGGGAAGACATATCTTCTCGTGCTTGACGATGTTTGGAACGACGATCCTAACAAATGGGACGATTTGATGAATTGCTTGTTGAATGCTACAAGCACCAAAGCAAGCAAAATCCTTGTCACTACCCGCAATGTGACTGTTTCATCAATTGTACAAACACTTCCTACATGTGTTTTGGGAAAACTATCGGAGGATGAATGCTGGCGCATATTGAAGTATAAAGCGTTTCCAGATGCGAGTGCTGTTTTGACTGAAGATCAAGAGAGAATTGGAAGGGAGATTGCCAAAAAGTGTGCAGGTGTACCATTGGTGGCAAAGGTATGTGTTGAAGTATTTTTTGCATGCGTTCTTCTTGTTCTTCATTTATAAACCTCTAACCCACAAGAAATTGATAGTGTTCTTCCCTAGTTTTTTTTAAGACGAATAGATTCTTGGAGGGGTTGTTTCTATTTATAGTTCATTTATAAGCCTCCAACATAATGCCACTTTTTCTACAAAAAGAAAAAAACAGAATACCTTCTAGAAATATTGGTAGTTTTGATTTAAAAACTTCTATTGAAATATAAAAACCTTCTAGAAATGTCTATTGAAATATAAAAACTTCTAGAAATGTTATAATAATCAGTAATGCATAAGTTAGGCATGTAAGTTTTACAAAATAGCATATCTATTGGAGAATTTCAGTCAAATGGTGGTGGGGTGGGATTTTATGTCGGGGAGGTTGGTTGGTTATGGATTGAGGATGGGCTTGGATTGGATGGGGTTGTCGCTAAAGGGGTTGGTTGGGGTTGTGGCCGATTTTGTTTGGTTTTTTAATTTATCCAATAAGATTTTGGGGGAGAAATAAAGATATGTAAGTTTTATTTTTTTATTATTATTATTTTGGAATTTGTGATTTTGTTCAAACCTAAGTAAGGAGACAGTCCTGAGTCCTATTGTCAACTGTTAAATTGAGTCAACTTTCGTTAGATTTAGGGGGTGTGATCGTAATAAATGAAACATTTAGCTTTGGCTGTAATTATGTTAAACTTCAGGGGTTCTAAGTGAAATTTCATGATTTATGTATATATATTTTTTCTTTTGCATATGGAACAAATATATTGAAGTTTTATGACAGCTTAATATTATTATATTAATTGCGTACTAAACTGGCCTAATAAGAAGATTAGTGATTACATATGATGATAATATTTTAAGTGAAGGGTGTATATTGACTATTTTGGAGTGCCAATAACTTCTTCCGTTTTATATTGCTATTATTGTTAATTTACCTTATTATCACTTAATAAACAAATTCAAACTTTCATGTACACTAGGTTTTGGGAAATATGATGCGTTCCAAAGATTTTGATGGATGGCTGTCAATCCTAGAAAGTAGAATATGGGATTTACCAGAAGGAGAAGAAAGAATCTTGTCGGTTTTGAAGTTGAGTTTTGATGAATTGAAACCATCATCTTTGAAACAATGTTTCGAATATTGCTCAATGTTTGTCAAAGATTTCCAAATTCGAAAGGATGACTTGATCAACCTTTGGATGGCTCAAGGATTGCTTTACCCTTCTCCTCCCAACAGACGTAATCTAAAGATGGAGGATATAGGAAATGAATATTTTAATATTCTATTAAACAACAACTTCTTCCAAGATGTTATAAAGGATGATGATGGTAGTATTATAATGTGCAAGATGCATGACCTTGTGCATGATCTCGCAGAACATGTGTCAAAACGGAAGAGCAATAACTCCAATGAGACTCGACACATGACACATATTCCTACCTCAGTGTTGCAAGGAGTTCCAGAAAGAAGTGCTCATAAATTGCGCTCACTTTTCTTGGATGTTAAAGGTCTTGGTGATATCTTATTGAACTTTAGAGGTTTGCGTGTCTTAAATTTATATAAAGCTGATATTGAGGAATTGCCCATTTCAATTGGAAAGTTGAAACACTTGAGGTATTTGGATGTTTCCTATACAAAGATCAAGGCACTACCCAAATCCATTGGAAAGCTTTATAATCTACAAACACTAAGAATGTATGGGACTGAGCTCAAAGAGTATCCAAAGGAACTGCAAAATTTGATAAACTTGAGACATGTTTATTTTTATCAGGATGATATGAAATTTCCAGCTGGAATGGGGCAATTGACTAATCTCCGAACATTAAATTTTTTTGTGGTGGGTAAGGAGACAGGTCGTGGAATAGAGGAGTTGGCTGGCTTAAAAATGTTAAAAGGCGAATTATCTATCTATAACCTAGAGCACGTGAGAGATGGAGAAGAAGCCAAGAAAGCAAAATTAGTGGAGAAGACAGACATACGCCAGTTACAGTTTGCATGGGATCATGACAGGTCAAGCATCATCAATGATGAAGAGGTACTAGAAGGCCTTCAACCACACCCTAGTAAACTGGAAGCTTTATGGTTTTTCAACTTCATGGGCGATAAATGTCCATCATGGATCATGAGTAGTTCGTTTCCTGCATTGAAAAGGTTAAATATTTATTATGCTAAGAACCTAACTGAATGGCCACAAGGTGAGATAGTGGTGTTTCCTTGCCTCGAGGAGCTGCTTTTGACGGATTGTGATAAATTGAGAAGTGCTCCCAGCCATTTTCCATCTCTCAAGAAGTTGGTCATAAATTCCATGGGCAGCTGCATGCCAATAGCAAACATAAGCAATAAGCTGACCACTCTTACTTCGCTCACAATAAGGAAGATAAGTGGACTTGTTTCTCTGCCAGAAGGAATGCTAAAAAACAACAAGAATCTTGCATACTTGGAGATAGAAGATTGTCAGGAGCTAACTCGTATTGCTCCTAATGTAGTTGGCTCTTGCGCATTTCTCGAGTCAGTGCGTATTTCCAAGTGTCCTATTCTTGCTTATTTGCCTGATGGGCTACTCACAACATCTCTTAAGAACCTTATTGTACAAGATTGCAATAGTCTACAGTTGATTCCAGTTACACACGGCCTCTCATCCCTCTGCAAATTAAAGATTACACGCTGTCCGGAGTTGTCAAGTCTACCAAGTGGGTTAGATTATTGTACCTCTCTTCAAGAGTTGACAATATCGAATTGTGATATGCTAACATCCGCTTTGATTCATAGCCTCTCATCCCTCCGAAAGTTGTCTATATTTGGTTGCAACAGGAGTCCAGAGTATGTTCCAAGTTTACTCGACTTCACATGCCTTCGTGAATTGAGAATCGAAGATTCCCCTGGATTGACTAGTCTGCCAGTAAGGCTGGAATCCTCTTCTTCTCTTGAGGTGTTGAGAATAAGCAAGTTGCCGAATGTAGAATCTATTCCAAGTTTAGACAACCTCACAAGCCTCCATGAATTAATGATATTTTCTTGCGATGGATTGAAAAGTCTACCCAGTGGATTAGCAATAACATCATGCCTCATGGACTTGGAGACATTGGAAATCGGTTGCTTTTGGAAGGAGCTGGATTCATTCCCTGCTTTTCAGGTTACATCACAACTTGACACATTATCGTTATGGGGTTGGCCTAAGCTCAAGTCTCTGCCCGAACAAATTCAACACTTCACTTCTCTAGCACGTCTTGAAGTGCGATGCTTTGACGGAATGGAGGCTCTTCCAGAGTGGTTGAGAAACCTTACATCTCTTAAGCGCTTGGGTATATGTCATTGCAAGAATATGATGTATCTACCTACACTCGAAGCTATGCAATGTCTCACCAAATTAGAATGCATATGGATTTTGTATTGTCCCCTTCTAAAAGAGAGATGCAACAAGAAGAGCGGCTCAGAATGGCCTAAGATTTCTCATATTCCATATATAGAGGGTATGTTTTTCTTTTTCCTTTTATTAGTTTTGGCTTTTAAATCAACTATGCATTCTATTTTCTTCACCTTCTTTTCATTTAACTTAATTATTTGTTATGTGGTATGTCTCTTTTTTCTTCTTTTTTTCATAACATGCAGTTAATGTTCATGATCATAATTATTTCCCCTTTACGAAATAATGATTTCTAATATTTATGTTTAAATCTCTAGTTGACCACGTGCGGTTGTAGCTGCCGGATTCAATAGTATGAGAAAGTATCATCCTGAAATGCGAAATAGTTGAAAGTGGCGTGAATTGTTGTTGAGAAAATGATCCTCAACTCAAGTCAGTGAGTGACTCTGCTTCTAAAGGTATCATTCTTTTTTCTTTCTCTAAAAAGAATAAAACTCTTTTCTTCCATGTATATACAGTCCTCTTTTATTGAGAGATGCCCTTTAGGATACCCTACAATTTTTTTTTCAATGATCCAAATCATCAATTTTTTAGGTTTTCATTTATAGATCATCCTTACAAAAAATTAGACAAATCAGAAACCGATTCGACATCCAATTGAGTCTTACAAAATCAATGAACACGGTACTTCAAGAAAGTACTAAAATTTCAATAATTCAATAGAATGGTCAAATGATATCGGATTCAAGTGATTTTTTGTAGAGATGATATTTGAATGTATATCTACAAAATAGACTGTTTAGATTAGTGAAATACAATCCGGAATGGGCTCTATAAGGGGTGTTCCTCAAATAAAATTATTTGAGAGATCCCTCAATAAAAATTCTCTGTGTATATATATATATATATATATATATATATAAATATCACATTTTCTTTTCCTCTGGCGTTCAACTCAATTAGTTGCTTTTTTACTTGAGACAGGTGTTGGTGTGGAGAGTTGATTGAAGAAAAAAAGGTGTCCCTTCCCTACAGCCTACAGCCTACAGGTGTGGAATTAATATTATTATATCGTTCTAATTATAATTAGTATTTAGTACAAGCAACTCCCTAGCCTCTGTTGTTCTTTTTTCTCATGAGTTTACTCTCTGTCTATGATGTTGCTTCTGCAGGCAGGGTCTATTGTTATTTTGGCATAATTTGGAGGTATTTGTAACCTGAAGGAACATTTTTTTTGTTTTTGTAATGGGAGCAAACAGAGTCCAGGTATTTGTTACCTGATGGTTTTCTGTTTTGGAGATAATGCTCAGATATTATATTAGGGTACAGTAATTCATGAGAACTACCTTTTTTTTTTTTTTTTTTTTTCCTTTCAATTTATTAGTTAATTCTATATCCTCTCCCTCTCTAACAGCTTTATAGGATTGATTCTTTCTGGAAAAAGTAAGGTTGTTGGTTGCTCTTGTGTTGTGAAGGTATTCAAAAGCACTCCAATTTCTACAGGTATACATTCCACTATGTATTTTTGAAATCTTAAGGAAAAAGAGTACGCAAATTTATTTCCTCTTTAGGCCTGCAATTATAGAACAACTTTTACGTATGTGAAATTCAGGACCGATCAAAGAGAGAGATTACCGGTCCACTATGACCAACAACAATTTTTAAGGAACCTACAAAGCATAACATGTGTGGAATTTTATATTAGTAATGAAAACATTCATTATATATTGTATTTTAATTTGTCAAATTCTATGTCCAAGGAAAACTAAAAATTTATTTAAATTTTAACATGGGTGTCCAAAGATGGATTTTGGATACAAATGTGAGCTCCCTAACATTTAAAGCACCAAGCCCAACAACCCAATAACCAGCTTCCTATCCTATTGCTCCACTCTCT